GACCTAGAGGAACTAAAGGACAAACAAACAGAGATGAACAACACAATAATTGAAATAAAAATACACTAGCATGTATCAATAGCAGAATAATTGAAGCAGAAGAACAAATAAGTGAACTGCAAGATAAAATGGTGGGAATAATTGCTGAGGAGAATAAGGAAAAAAGAATAAAGAGAGTTGAAGACAGTCTCAGAGACCTCACTAAGCTCACTAACATTCAAATTATAGAGGTCCCAGAAGAAGAAGAGAAAAAGAAGGAGTCTGAGAAAATATTTGAAGAGATTATAGTTGAAAACTTCCCAAACATGGGAAAGAAATAGCCATCCCAGTTCAGGAAGTGCAGGGTCCCACACATGATAAACCATAAGACAAACACACCAACACACATATTAATCAAACTAACAAAAGTTAAGCACAAAAAAGTATTAAAAAGCAGCAAGGATAAAATAAAAAATAACATAAAAGGGAATCCCCATAAGGCTACAAGCTGATTTTTCAGCAGAAACTCTGTAGGTCATAAGGGGGTGGCAGGATATGTTTAAAGTAATGAATGGGAAAAACCTACAACAGATATTACTCTATTCAGCAAGGATCTCATTCAGACTTGACCAAAAAACCAAAAGCTTTACAGACAAGCAAAAAAGAGAATTCAGCACTACCAAGACAGCTTTACAACAAAAGCTAAAGGAAATTCTCTAGGCAGGGAACAAGAAAGAGATACACAAAAACAAACCCCAAACAATAAAGAAAATGGTGATAGGAACATTCATATCAATAACTACCTTAAATGTAAATAGATGAAATGCCCCAACAGACAGACTGGTTGAATGGATACAAAAACAAGATCTGTATGTATATTGTCTACAAGAGACTTTAGACCTAGGGATACAAACAGACTCAAAATGAGGGGATGTACAGATATTCCATGTAAATGGAAATTTTAAAAAAGCTGCAGTAGCAATACTTGTATCAGATGAAACTGATTTGAAAAGAAATACTGTTACAAGAGATAAGTAAGGACTACATAATGATCAAGGGATTACTCCAGAAAGAAGATATAACAATTATTGATATAAACATTTATGCACCCAAGGTGGCACTAGTGGTAAAGAATCCGCCTGCCAGTGCAGAAGNAATTAATGCAGAGAAATCTCTTGCATGCCTATATACCAACAACAAAGAACAGGAATTGAAATTAATGAAACAATCCCATTTATTATTGCAACAAAAAGAAGAAAATTCCTGGGAATAAACTTACATAAGGAGGCAAAAGACATGCACTAGAAAACTATAAAACACTGATGAAAAAAAATCAAAGATGACACAAACAGATGGAGAAATATACCATGTTCTTAGATTGGAAGAATCAATGTTGTGAAAATGAATATACTGCCCAAATATTCAATGCAATTCCTATCAAAATACCAGTGGTATTCTTCACAGAATTAGAACAAAAAATCTTACAATTTGTATGGAAACACAAAAGACTCTGAATACCCAGAGTAATTTTGAGAAAGAAAAACCGAAGTTGGAGGAATCAGGCTTCCTGACGTTATACTACAAAGCTACAGTAATGATAGTATGCTACTGGTACAAAAACAGAAATATACACCAATGGTATGGGATAGAAAGCCCAGAGATAAACCTACGTGTCTATGGTCACCTAATATATAACAAAGGAGGCAAGAATATACAATGGAAAAAAGACAGCCTCTTCAATAAATGGTTCTGGGAAAGCTGGACAGCTACATCTAAAAGAATGAATTTAGAACACTAACATCATGTACAAAAGTAAACTCAAAATGGATTAAAGATCTAAATGTAATAAGACTGGTCACTATAAAAACTCTTAGAGGAAAACATAGGAAAAACACTCTGACATAAACCACAGTTGGATCTTTTTTGACCCACTTCCCAGAGTGATGAAACAAAATCTAAACAAATGGGACCTAATTAAGCTTAAAAGCTTTTGCACAGCAAAGGAAACCATAAATAAGACTAAAAGACCACCCTCAGACTGGGAGAAAATATTTGCAAATGAAGCAATGGAGAAAGGATTAATCTCTAAAATATACAAAGAGCTCATGGAGCTCAATATCAAAAAAACAAACAATCCAATCAAAAAATAGATGGAAGACCTAAATAGACATTTCCCTAAAGAAGACAGACAGATGGCCAAAAACATATGAAAAGATGCTGAACATCACTAATTATGATCATTATATTTCTATCTTATATTTCTATTATTTTACTGTAATTCATAGTATACTAATTATAATTATTAGAGAAATGCAAATCAAAACTGTAATGAGGTATCACCTCACAAAGGTCAGAATGGCCATCATCAAAAAATCTACAAATAATAAATGCTGGAGAGGGTGTGGAGAAAAGGGAAACTTTTTGCATTGTTGGTGAGATTATAAATTGATACAGCTACTGTGGAGAACAGTATGGAGGTTCCTGAGGAAGCTAATAGAACTACCATATGATCCAGTAATCTCACTACTGGGCATATACCCTGAGAAAACCATAATTCAAAGGGACACATGTATCCCAATGGTCACTGCAGCACTATTTACAGTAACCAGGACACAGAAACAATCTAAATGTCCCATGGTAGATGAATGGATAAAGAAGATATGGTATGTATATACAGTGGAATGTTACTTAGCCACTAAATGGAATGAAACAGGGTCATTTGTAGAGCTGTGGATGGACCTAGAGTCTGTCATACAGAGTAAAGTAAGCCAGAAAGAGAAAAATAGATATCATGTAACAATGCATATATGTGAAATCTAGAAAAATGGTACAGATGAACCTATTTCCAAGTCAGGAATAGAGACAGATGTAGAGAATGGACATGTGGACCCAGGGGAGGAAGGGGAGTATGGGAATAATGGGGAGATTAGGGTTGATATATACACTGTGCTATGCAGTGCTTAGTTGCTCAGTCGTGTCTGACTCTGTGACCCTATGGGCTGTAGCCCTCCAGGCTCCTCTGTCCATGGGGATTCTCCAGGCAAGAATACTGCAGTGGGTTGCCATGCCCTTCTCCAGGGGATCTTCCCAACCCAGGGATCGAACCCAGGTCTCCCACCTTGCAGGTGGGTTCTTTACCATCTGAGCCACCAGGGAAGCCCAGGAACACTGGACTGGGTGACCTATCCCTTCTCCAGGGGAACGTCCTAACCCAGGAACCAAACCAACGTCTCCTGCATTGAAGGCGGGTTCTTTACCAGCTGAGCTACCTGGGAAGCATGATATTATACACTAGCGTGTGTAAAGTAGATAGCTAGTGGGAACCTGCTACAAAGCACAGGAAGCTCAGCTCAGTGCTCTGTGATGACCCAGACGGGTGGGGTGTGGAAAAGAGGTCCAGAGAGAGAGGAGATAGATGTATGCATATGGCTGACCACTGCACTGTACGGCAGACATTAACCCAACATTGTAGAGCAATTTTATTCCAATAAAAAACCAATCTAGAAGAGAAAAATAGTACTGAGAGTTGACCCTTTGACTAGTAAAACTCACTTCTGATCAAGAAGCAGCAAGAAAGAGTATGTGCTTAAGTTAAGAATGTAAGCTTTTGAGTCTTACATTTAAAGGAGGTCACTTATAGGTGGAAACGATTTTAAAATTCACTGGACCCATGCTAAGAGAACATAATAAGAGAACATAACTCTCACCCAGAGGGGGGTTGGGAGGCTCAAATAAGACAATGTTTATAAATAGTAACTTCTTATCTGGCAGCCAACAACAACAACAAAAACAACTGACTTTATAGAAATGAATTAGAATCATAACATTTGTTGAATTGCATTTAAATTTAATTTTATAATGTAGGTACGTGGACATTTTGGGTTCACTGGTGCTTAATGGGTGGACAGCAACCAGGAATGTTGTCACTGAGCTCCCAGCTGGCCCTGGAGAAAGGACCTGGGAATGCATTACCACAGAGGCAGGGTTTCCTGCAGGAAACCTCTCATTGCCTCTGATCACCCATGTCTGCTCTAGTATACTGGGGGTTGGTGGTGGGGATTGCTTCCTCCAATCCTGTTGTCTGTGTTTTTTCTTTCACTTGAAAAGAAACTTAAAAGGAGAAAAACCAATTATCTTTTTATAAAAAGTAGAAAACATGAATAAGCAAAAAGAAGAAAATTTAAAGCCAAATAAAAATGATAAATAATTTGTCACCCAGTGGCAACAGTGTTTAACAATGTGGCATGTATCATTTCATGTCTGTACTTTTCAGCCGGGGCTCATAGCACTCACCTTGTTTTGTAACAGGCAGTTTTTGAGAAACAATGTATCACTAGTAGGGGTCAGGAGACACTCTTTCTCTGCACAACTACTAATTAACCTTCCTGGGCCCACCTTCTTTCTGAAGTTTGATGTATTTACCAAAAATTTCCACCAGATCTTGGATTGTTTCTAGATTGTGAACAGACACTGAAATGTTTCTCTTTCTGCCAAAGTCTTGCCCATAAGCTTAGGCGGAAGCTCTGGCGTCAGAGAATTTTTGCCTCCACCTCCATTTAAAAGCCAACTTACAGGACTTATCTATTGGTCCAGTGGTTAAGAATCCACTTTGCAATGCAGGAGACACAGGTTCTATTCCTGGTTGGAGAACTTAGATCCCACATGCCACAAAGCAACTAAGCCTGCCCTCAGCAACTACTCAACCCACCTGCTCTGGAGCCTGCAACACACTCTGAAGCCCTGGCGTCACAATGAGAGAATTCGTGTGCCAATAAATAAAAATTCATATAAAAAAAAACAAACTCGCGGGACTTCCCTGTCAGTCCAGTCGTTAAGACTTTGCCTTCTAATGCAGGGGGTGCAGTCAAGTCCCTGGTGGGACAGCTAAGATCTCACCTGCCTTGGAAGGCGAAAAAAGCAAAACTTAAAACAGAAGCAATATTATAACAAACGCACTGAAGACTTTAAAACCGGAAGAAGAAAGAAAAATCAACTTGAAGTCTTCCTGGCCTCATCTCTAGGGCGCCTTCCATCTTGCTGTGCAAAATTCACAAGACTGTAACCTGTACCAGATGTGTCTCAGCAAGTACGGCGGCAGTTCAGTGATTTCCCCTGCGTGTGGACCAGGGGTGTGGAGAACTCGGGTCCTGAGGCCCCCACCGTGTGAAGGCCTCTTCACGGCGCAGAGATGCACCCCCAGGATCACAGGAGGTGGGATCTACAGGGGCCTCCCCTACGATCCCAGCTCCTTGAAGGTACACCCTCCCGCGCGGCCAGGCTGGGGTGCGGATCCCTCCGGCACGAGGGGCAGGTGGGGAGTGTCTGCCCCACGGGCTGCGACCTCAGCGGGGCTTTGGCTCCGCAGAGCTTCACGGGTTGCTTGGGGTCAGCCCAGGGTCACAGCTTCCTCCTGCTGCAGGGGTTGGGGGTCGTGACACCCTCTCCTCCAACCCAGCCTAAGGGCCTAAGGGCCTAAGGGCCAGGCTAGTTGGAGCCTCCGACGCCAGCTCCCCAAGGTCTTGGCTTCCATGCAGCCCCCCGCCCCCCAATCCCACGGACCCTCAAGAACCTCTCGGCTCAATAACAACTGCCAGAACCACTAGAACCCCCCGCACCAAGGCTGATCCCCAGGCCCCCTGGATTTAGGAGGAGAGGGCGAGGCCTGGTCGCCGGGCCAGGTACTCAGGGATTGGCCAAGTCCTCGATACTTTGTAGCTACCGCACCTCCGAACCGCCTCCGGGGATTTGCATGCTGAGCCTGAAGGCTGGGAGCCGGTGCCTGGCTAAGGGGTGAGTTGGGGGCGTCTGGATGAAGGTGGGTGAATGGGGGCTGTCTGGGAGGGAGTTTATGGGGTACTGTGACTGAGTTTAAGTCCAGGTGGGGGGCCAGGGAGGCCTCTTGGCGCCCACGGGGAGCAGGGCACCCGGAGAGGTGGGGCGGCGCAGGGCCACAGCCAGGCAGAGAGTGTTCAGGCAGGCTGGCGCGGTAGAGCCGTCCATCCCCGCGGAGCCGGGTCCCCTCAGTGTTCCGGGCGCCCCTCCCCAGTCCATTTCTTTCCCCAACTCCAGGATTCTCTTCGTGTGAGTTTGGCCCTTAGCCTCCTCCCTTTCCTTCCTGGAGCCCGGTGAGGGCTGGGATGGGGCAGTCGTCCCGAGAGGAAACCTGGGTCTCCCGAAGGATGCGAGGTCTCGGACCCCCTGCCCGTTGTGCCGGGAAGAAAGGTGGGGTCCTGAGACAGGAGCCCGTCTCAAGGCGCTGAGGTCCGGGAGCGGCGACGAGGGCGCGTCCTGCGTCCCTTTCGCGCGCGCGTTCCTGTAGGTGGTACAGGGCGGCAAGAGGTGGAAACAGGCCAGACCCTTTGCCAGGGAGCGTGGCAAGTCTGTTCAGATTCTCACATCGTGTGTGGAAAGTGGTTTGGTAGCATCTGCTAAGTACACCTTTAGTTTGGCTGCCAGCAGCCTGTTCCATAGCCCTCAGGTAATTGGAACACAGGTCTGAACCTTATGTTTGAGAAAGTGCTCACTAGTGTGAGGCTGGGGAGGTGGTTACAGCTCCTCCTTCCACCGGGTTCTTTTCAGAACCTAGTGGAGACTAGGGGTCCTTCCTACAGTGCTGCCAGACTTAAGTATTGCCATAAGGCATAAGAAGGCTCTCTCCATTTGGTGTAATACATACATAGTCAGATTGTAGTTTTAAAATATGAGAAACAGAGAGGTGGTAATGTGGGCAAGGCGCACGAAGGGAACAGAGGTTCCAGGAGTGAGGAGCGAGGAGGAGTCTTGCAGCCACAGCACGCAGCCAGGATCGGGACTGTTGTGGAGACTCATGGGAAACTCTGCCAGTCCCTGCTGCCCCTGCCTTCTCTTGCTGTCGCCACAAGTACCTATGGCAGGAGAGGCCTGGCAGACTTGGCTGAATATAGATGTGCGGCCAGCTGATCAGCATGGGCAGGCCGTGGTCCTGACTTGTCATCTTGTTTGCAGAGGGGCCCAACCCGCCTGGCGATGCAGAGCTTCCTGCAACTGCTGAGGGGAAACGGGGGCCCCAGCCTGCCCTTGCCGGAGCTGGTGACCCTCGCAGGCAGGCTGTGCCGGGACCTCCAGGATGACCCCATCCAGGTGCAGCCCTTGGTCACGGCTGTGCTGGACAGCCAACTCCGCCTGTACCTCTTGGACAATGCGGATGTGGCCCTGGTGTGCGCCAGCGTGCTGGCCCAGCAGGAGCAGCACCAGGCCGCCTGTAGGCTGCTGGAGGTAGAACTGGTCTGTGAGATGGGGGTTGGGGGGATGTAGGGGTTGAAGAGAGGGGAAGCAGCCACCACCATCCTAAACACCGCAGAAATGCCCAGAGTCAGCAGGAGCTTGTGGAGAGGTGCCATAAACCAAGACGGGATGGCCCACTCTCTCTCTACTAAGTTTTAACTTGCCTAGTAACTGAAGATGAGACTGTCCAGTTTTGGAATCTTCGTGGTCCTGGCTTGAAAAGATGGCATCCCAATTAGTGAGACAAGCAAACAGACCCAGTCTCTCAGTCCCCTGACTGTGGGTCTGCATTCAGGAACTCTGAAATCACAAGTATGTTTGTTAGTCTTCTGGTGGCACTTTGAACCTCAAGTCATTTGGCATGAAAACCTGAGCTATGTCCACATGAAGCTCTTGATGTCTTTATCCACTTTATGTTACTGCGGTACGTTTTACTATCCAAATGTTGGTATGTTTGGTTGCACGATGCTGCTTGTCCCAAATCATACTGGAGTGGTGCAAATTCTGTAGTGTATACCTGTGTTACTTCCTAAAATGTGTGAAGTTCTGAATTCCAAACTATGTGTGGCTCAAAAGGTTTTAAAAAGAGATTTGGGGGCCAGTGTTTCTCTTTTTCACTCCATATACATGTATGCATGTACATCTATGCATAATTCATGCTGTGTTTACTTTCCAGATACTCAATTCTTTCCAGTTCTTTCTGTTTCTGCTCCCTCTCCCCCAAGCCCTGTGGCATCCACCTGGCTCCCTCTCCCGCCCCCTGCCCCCAACCATGTTCTCTCCTGCCCCCTCCATCTGTTCCTCACCTAGCAGCTAGAGGGAGTTTTAAAACTGCAGATGGGACCATGGTGTGTGCTGAGGCGGTGGCCCCAGAGCCTGCCGTCAGTGCTGGCTTGCTCTCCAGTCTTTGGACCCTTCCTGCCCCTCTTTTGTCATGCTGGCTTTCTTGATGTTTCTGGAACTCCTGAGATCCTCTTCTTTTGAATTTTGCAGGTGTCATTTCCTCTGCCAGAGGAACTGGAGCCCCATTCTGTGTGGCTGGAGCTTTCCTACGTGTCTGGTTTCTGCTTTAAATGTCACCCTGTGTAGCTAGTGCCTCCTTTATTGTCAAGGATACAGAGGAGTCCTCATCCCCCTCTATGGCTCCTTCCTCAGCTCATAAGTAGAAACCTGTTTATTTTTCAACCTGTGTTCAGTCTGCCTCCCCTCCTGCACTGCAGGCCCCAGGAGCAGGGGGCGCGTCAGTTCTGCTCCTTAAAGGATCCCCAACACCTGAAACATAAGAGAACTCAGATTTCCAGTGATGTCAGACAAAATGAATGAACATACAGTGTTGTCATAGCTGCTGTTAGGCAGTCAAGGATGAAATGTGATGAAAAACTCCCAGGAGAGGGACTGTATCTCACTCGGGATTGTCTAGAAGTAATTGTAATTACTAGAAGTAATTGTCTAGAAGTAATTGTCTCTCCGAGACCTGAGAGAAGCCATGGGGCCACCACCTTAGAAAAGGGTGTTTCCTGCCAAGGGCCACTCCTGCAGGTGGGGAGTCCCCACGTGGTTTCTCTGCCCATAGGTTGTGCCCTGGGTCTGCTGCTTTATCCTGGCAGGAGACTGCAGGCTTCGACCCAGCAAAATGGGCTTTTTCTGTTGCTGTGGAGAGAAAACCAAACGATTCTCAGCACCTCCCTCACCAAAATGGTCCTGAGAACACTGGGATTAAAGCACAGGGGATGTGTCTACGGGAGGCCTGTCCTCAGCATCCTTGGCCATCTCAGAAGTCGGGTCACATGACCATGTTACACTGGGTCAGGAAGCCATCAGTGGCATGACCATGACCCCTTTATCCCCTTCAGCTCAGAATGTGCTCTCTGAGACCCAGGGATCCACCCAGCTGATGGGAAAGACCTCTCATACAGGATGGGGTCACGCCTCAGGCCCCTCAAATCTGATCTTTCATATATGGTCCTTAGCCCAGCTCTGCCTCCTATATGCTGTGGCCACAGCCCAGAGGTGGCCTTCCCCTTGCCTGCTCCTCATTTGTGGGGGTGGAGGAGAACTGTGCCCCCCAGGGGCTCCCTGAAATCCTGGTGGGGACTGGAGCCCAGCCATGGCGCTCATGCCCTCACCATTGGGTGCCAGTGGGAGGCTGGTCTTAGGCTCAGGCAACTGGATGATGGGGCTCCAGGGCAGGGGAGGGTGCGGGTCTCAGGAGGCTCTTGTCCACAGGGGTGCCAGGTGCCAGGCGGCAGCCCCAAGCTGGTGCAGCTCTGGCATGACATCCACTACCGTCTGGCCATGAAGAGGCTCGGCGTGTCCACACTGACGCCGGTGCAGAAGTTCCGGTGCAGGAAGAGGTATGTGCTGGTCTTGGCGCTTATTCCCCGGGGGCTCCCAGGGGATTTGCCTTCCAGAACCACAGAAGGGCTGAGGCGAAGTAGAAGGAGGGAGGCAAGATGAAACAGTGATGTCAGTGCCCGACACTGAGCCACCTCTCCGCCTGCTCGGCTGTGGGAGCACTGTCCCACCTCTGCCCATAGGGCAGGATGGAGAGCCGTTCCCAGGACCCAGGCCAGGAGCTGCTGCCGTCAGTGAGGACCTTGCAGGGAGGGAGTCAGTAGGTGGGCACCCCGACCTCACTTTCCTCCTGTGGGAGGGATGCCCCTCATGTCAGCTAGTCCCCACGATCTGCCAGTGGCCTGGCTGGGATTTCAGCGCAGCTCCTCGGGGCCACAGGACCTTTTAAAGACAGATGGAGATGCGGGTGCTGTACGCACCATGTGAGATGCATGTAGTGCTTAGAACAGTGGTCCCCAATCTTTTTGGCACCAGCGGCAGGTTTTGTGGAAGACAATTTTTCCGGGGACCAGTGCATGTGCAGGGGTAAGGGGGATGGTTTCGGGATGATTCAAGTATGTTACAGTTATTGTGCACTTCTATTATTATTACATAAGCTTTACCTCAGATCATCAGACATTAGATCCCAGATCATCAGACATGGGGACCCCTGGTTAGAAGACGGTCTGGCACATGATAGCTGCTGAACAGATGTTAATAACAATCACCACCATGACCATAATCAGCACTAAGTAAACATTATGACTACCAGTTACAACCATCACCATCATCACCATTCGCGGGTGAGGACACCGAGGCACAGACAAATTAGTGACTCACCTGGTCACACGCTGGAGAGACGCAAAGGCAGGATTCCAGCTTAGACGTTGAGGCCGCAGAGCCTCTGTTCCTTATGTGGGTGATCTCCACCGGCCAGAAGAGGCTGCAGGTCTCGCTCTGAGCTCCTGAAGGCCCAAGTGGCAGGAGTTGCTGAGCCAAGAGCCTGGTTGATGGAGGAAGAGATGGATGGATTCCTTTTGGATCAGACAGAATTTGTCTCACAGTGCCCGCCAGATAACGTCCTCAAAACCCAGAAGTTAATCAGCCTGGAGGTTGTCAAGGGTTGCCGTCCGTCCCCTCCTCAGGTTTTTAGGGCCTGCCTGAGGGTGGTTCAGCAAAGGGACTTGAGCAGCAGCTTGCCGTGTTTGTGAAGAGGCCCCTGGGCTCTCCTGGAGCTGCCCTTGGATGTGGATGACGGACAGGGGACTGGGAAACAAAGCAGATCCCCTAATTCAGAGCAAGGAATGCCAGACAGGACAAGCTCAGTAGAGGGTGGTGGTCCTTTGTTGTGGGGGCTGCAGCACAGGGCCACAGAACCCGAGTGACGCCTGAGCACAGGGACGGTGCTCTCTGGGCATGAGGAGGGGTGATACACACTGCAGCTGGTGGTCAGTGCGGGGGCAGAGACAGGAGGTGCTTGGAGGTTCTGAGAGGGGCGTGACTGGGGAATGGGCTGTGTCAGGATGGACTCAGGAGGATTTGCAGCTAGGTTGAACGTATTGTAGAAGGTAAGATAATAAACCCAGGCTCTTGGCCTGATTGGCAGGGACATGGTCGTCTCTCAGTGGGATGAGCAAGACAGGCTGGGGGTAGATGTGAGAAGTGGGAAACTGAGCTTCACTGGGATGTATGGGGTGTGTTCTTGACAGTCATGGGGATGTTTTAATCAGTATTTGGATATCAAATCTTGTAGAAAACTGGTGTTGTTCACTTATATGACATTTTTAAAGAAAAATTATTTTTGGCTCTGCTGGGTCTTTGTTCCTGTTCGGGCTTTTCTTTAGTTGCAGTGAAAGTGAACGTCGCTCAGTTGTGCCCAACTCTTTGTGACCCCAGGCAGTCCATGGAGTTCTCCAGGCTAGAATACTGCAGTGGGTAGCCGTTCCCTTCTCCAGGGGGATCTTCCCAACCCAGGGATCTAACCCAGGTCTCCCGCATTGCAGGTGGATTCTTTACCGGCTGAACCATGAGGGAAGCCCAAGAATACTGGAGTGGGTAGTCTACCCCTCCTCCAGGGGAACTTCCCGACCCAGGAATCGAACCAGGGTCTCCTACATTGCAGGTGGATTCCTTACCAACTGAACTATCAGGGAAGCCTTAATTGCAATGAGTGGGGGCTACTCTCTGGTTGTGTTCTGCAGGCTTCTCATTGTAGCTTCTTGTTGCAGAGCACAGACTTTAGGGTACTTGGGCCTCAGTAGTTGTGGCTCCCAGGCTCTAGAGCACAGGCTCAGTAGTTGTGGTACCTGAGCTAGGTTGCTCCGTGGCATGTGCGTTTCTTCCCAGACCAGGGATCAAACCGGTCTCCTGAATTGGCAGGCAGATTCTTTACCACTGAGCCACCAGAGAAGCCCCCTGTCATTTTTTCTTTTGCAAAAAATTTCCATTGTACAGTCAGTAAAGCGGATAGCATAACCCACCTCAATATCTTCATCATCCAGCTTCAGCAGTCAGGGCCACTGGTCAGTGAGGGGTGCTGGGAACCCTGATGAGAGTGTGGAGTGTGGGCCCAGGCACCACCAGGCCCCTCCCTGCTCAGGGCTTGGCTCCAGGGCCTGCAGCACACGCTGGGGACGAGGGTGGCTGGTGAAAGGAGCAGAGTCCAGGGGGACACAACAGGTGCATCCAGAGGAGCAGGGGTCTGTTACCACCTCCTCAGTGTCCTCCTCTAGGAACCCACCACCCGCCTCCCTCTGCCCCGACGGCCTGAAGAGCCGGAACTTCCCCAGAGAAGTTCGCCAGAAGCTGCAGGACTTTGCCTCGGGCGTGAGCACCAACCCCAGCAAGGCTGAGCGGGTAAGAGCAGATACGAGCGTGGCCAGGCACCCTCCCCTTCGCCAGCACTCCCTATCCTTAGGGGAAGCCCACCCTTGGGTGGCTCACCCCCACTGTTAGGTGGGGGACTAACACCCTTGGGGGCCTGCCACCCTTAGGGGGGAGATCCACATCACCACCTTAGGGGGGAGACCCACACCCTCACTAGTGGCCTATCTGCCAGGGCGGTGGTGGGCTCTGACCACCCTGAGCTCCCTTGGGGATGGCGCCCTTTGGCCGGCAGCCCTTGCATGTCTAGCCTGCACAGGCTGGGGAGTGAGTTTCATCACAGGCATCTAATACCCAGTCAGCCGGTGTGACTTTAGAAGACACTCACTGAGCACTCGCTGAGGCCGGGGCTCCAGCAGGAGGGGTGGAGGGGGGCGCCCTCCAGGAGCGGGTGGAGGGGGCAAGAGTCTGCCCCCTCAGATCCTGCTGCTCAGAAAGCTGGCTTGCTCCCTCCTCCCCGCGTCCAGTCAGCTGGGCTCCCCCAGAGCAGGGCACTGTGGCCAGTGGTGCCAGGTCACATCTGAAAGGTGCCTGGTCGCAGGGTTGGTCATGGCCAATACGCTCTGGCACGGGCGGGCGGAGGGTGAGTGGTTGGGTGGCACCTCGGGAGGATCTGGTTTGCCAGCTGCTTGGAGCCCCCGTGGCTGTGAGTGGCCGTTGGCTGGGTGGTGGCTTGCCCCCTTGGTGCCCCAGCCTCTCGGCTTGGGAGTGGGCTGGGCTAGTGGCGGGTTGTTTTGGGGCAGGAGGACCTGGCCTCTCAGATGCGCCTGACCACGGAGCAAGTCTACAACTGGTTTGCCAATTACCGGCGGCGCCAGAGGGCCCTGATGCAGCGTGCGGCGCCAGCCCCAGACTCAGGAGAAGACCTTACGTCGGGGGAGGCGAGTCGGCACCCCCCCCCGCAGCCAACAGGCCACCCCCACCTTGGCTCTGGGCTTGTGGACAGGCCTCAGTGGTCGAGTGAGTGGCCCCTCTGACAAAACCGGTATCCAGGACCAGCCAGACCCCCTCCTCCAGCTCCAGTCTGCATGTTCAGCACCTCACCCTGTGGGAAGTGAGATCACTGACGCTAAGGGTCAGGTTGGGCTCAGGGTGGCCTGGGTGGGCTGCAGCAGCATTTTGCGTAGAGAGATTACTGTGAGGTCAGGCCCAGGAGTTGGGGAGGTGAGCCAAGCACCAGAATTGGGATGGCCTGGGTTCCTAATCATGGGTTTTAGTTCAGAACAAAGACAGATCAAGGGTCAAACAAAGAGCACCAAGCAATCAGCGTGACTGCTCTCAATCTGCTGGGAAGGAGGCTGGGACTCCAAGCATCACCCAGCCTCCCCTCCCGTTTGATTGGCTTTTAGCAGGACCTGAGGAAAGTGGGCCTCCACAGACCCTGGAGACCACCCAAGGGCCGTGGGAGCCGCTGGCTCTGACCCCAGACTTCTCTGGAGGCGAGACTATGCCCAAGTCACTGGCTCCCAGGTACTGCCACGCACATAGGTTAGGGGACTGTCTCCCTGTTCAGTTCCCCACCCTCAGTGGGAGACCAGGATTGGGGTGGGTGTAGGAATGCCAGCCAGACCCTGGGACCAGGTCTGTGATGGCTGAGGGCAGAGACAGCTGTGACCCCAGGTAGGAGGGGGAGCCACGGGCAAGGAACCCACGTCATGTGCAGCACACTTGCTTCCTGGAGCCTGACTCACAGCCTGACTTCATGTAAATTTTGGAGGATGGGGAAGCAGACTTAGAAAAACATGTAGACCTATCTCCTAAAGGCAAATGGCCGTCCTCTTGGTTTGTTTCTCTCTAACATTTGGTGTGGTTGGTATATCTCTAAGTTAGTAACCCCTAAGTTAGTAAGTTCCTCCCACAGCCCAGGCAGTGTCTCACTTTACCTTGCCACTCCTGTGACCTGCATAGACTGCTGTGAGCCAGCAGGAGTGCTGGCCAGCAGGGGGACTGAGTCTAAGTGAGGGGTCATGTCCATGCTGTGTAAACCATCAAGCTGTGCCCACTTTTTTCCCTGTTACCCTTGTGTTATTAGCATCTCGCATGACATTACCTGGGCTGGCACCTCACATTCAGGCCAGCACTACCCATGTGGCCTTAGGCAAGTTCCCGTGACCTCTTGGTGTCTCACTCTTCTCATCTGTGAAATGGGGACAGTGATAAGCCCTGCCATGCAGGTCGTCACACAGATGATAGAGGTGGGGGGTTGTTAACAAAAGCCCAGAAGCGCCATCTGAGACACAGTGAGCATTGGTGGAACATTAATTCTTTGAATTATTAATTTCTGCCTAATAGTCCTATAAGATTGACCTTCATATAGTCACTCAAATGTTAGGTTGTACCTAATCATTTTCAGCTTTCAGTATTGCAGAACCATGCTTCATTGAAAGCACTTGTAAATAAACTGCTAATGTATCTTAGGTTTCTAGCAGTAATATTTTTTACTCTTGCAGCCCCAGGGAGGATGGTGAAGGCAGTATGACTGGGAATGTGGTGGGCCCCACAGCCATCCATCCGAGCCCAGATTCCCAGACTGAGCTGGAATGTCCTCCCAGGCCCCCCTACCCGGGCCTGGGGGACCCTCTGCCCACCAAGGGGTGGTGTTCCCTGTGTCCCCCCAGGTCTCTGCAGGGTGGTGAGATGTACCAGGAGGGGCCTAACCGTGACCCAGCCACTCTGCCCCCTGTCTGCTCTGGCCCTGGTCTCTGTCCTCTGGCTGCTGCCAACGATATGCTGGACCCCTCTCTGGCTGCCCCTGAGTCATGGCTGATGTCTCTCGCACTGGCATCCTCCAAGGAAGCTTCCTTCCAGACTGGGCAGCTGATCCACAGTCATGGGCTGAACCTCACCACGCGCCCTACAGACGCTGCTCTGGCTGTGTCCCTCGCCACCCTCAGGGAGCCCAGCCCCTCAGGTGGGTCCACTCTAGACAGACCACATGTTTCTACATCAGATGCTTTGACGGCTTGTGTCTCATTTGGAGGGGCAGGATTTTGAGGGGCGAGGACTTTCTGCTTGAATCCCATGTATTTTATTAGACCCACAAATCAGTGCAGTTGGAACAGGCTCTTCCCATGAACAGCTGGATGTTTTTTTCATTTATTTTTGTTTTCAAAGTAAAATGTGCACGTGGCTAAAAAAATAGGATAGTGAGGAAAGAGTTGAAATGAAATGGAATGGCTGCCAACCCTGCATCCAGTCCCCGTGACTAGCTTGTCCATGTCTGCTAGCACAGAGGAGGGCTGAGCTGCTCAGACTTCTACCCTCTTGTCCGGGTTTCTTTCTTAGCTGTAATTGTAGCTATACATACCCCCCCCCTTTTTTTTTAGATATTTGAAATACAACTTTATTCTGATTCTAAACGAAAAGGAATGGGAATGACAGTAACAAACAAGATTCCACCTCTCAATATTGTCATGTGACTATAGCAGTCTTATATTTGCTATACATACCCTTAACGAAGATGTATTCAGGTATATATTTTGTGCACCAAACATGATAGCATCTTGTGACATCCAAGCATATAAAGAGGATATTGGCACTGAATTCAGCCTGTCACCTAAATTTCTTAGTCTTCTGTGGTTATGCATGCGAGCTAAGTCGCTTCAGTCATGTCTGACTCTTTGTGACCCTATGGACTATAGCCTGCCAGGCTCCCCCGTCCTTGCAATTTCCCAGGCAATACTGGAGTGGGTTGCTGAGCCCTCCTCCAGGGGATCTTCCTGACCCAGGGATCAAACCCACATCTCTTATGTCTCCCTGCATCGGCAGTCTTTACCACTAGCACCACTTGGGAAGCCCTCTTCTGTGGTTATATATGTTGTGTGTGTGTGTGTGTGTGTGTGTGTGTGTGTGTCTGTCTTAATATAGTTTCTCATTGCCTTTCTTTTTTCTCACATTGTCTGCTTTTATCACGTCCTTAGCTTCTCCCAGTGTTTCAAGCATCACCTCTGAAGACTTGTTGCTGGGAGCCTCCTCCCTGTCCCCATCCAAGTGCAGTCTTCCTAGGCCTGGGATGGAGCCATCATCCTGAGAACACCTGGGTTTGCTTCAGTGTTGAATCTGAGTTCTCCGACCAGGGATCAAACCCATGTCCCCTGCGTTGGAAGGTGAAATCTTAACCATTGGACCACCAAGGAAATTCCACTTCAGTGTTTCCTTAATTGCAAGTCTTGTTCTTTCTTTCTTTCTTGACTCTTGTTGTTAGAGAATGTCTTTAACTTTACAAGAAAGGATGACTGCAAGGTAAATTTTCTGATTCCTTGCATCTTCTGAAATTGTCTATAATCTTCCCTCTTGCTTGATTTACTATTTGTCAGGGACAGAATTCTGAGCTCAAAACACTTTTTCCCTTAGAAATTAGAAAGCAACATATTACAGCATCCAATGTTGTCATTTTAAGTCAAATGTCATTCTGATTTTTACATGTTTTACATATTTTTCCTTTCTTGAAGCTTTTTATTTTTTAAGTCTTGGTGTTCTGAAATTTCACAGTGATGGTCCTAGGTGTGAGTCTTTTAAAATCACTTTGTTGTTAAGCCTTTCAATTTAAAGAGAGAGCAAGGTCTTCTTTAAGCTCCAGGCATTTTCTGTAATTTTCTTTGATAGTTTCCTGATGATTTCCTCCTTTCAGTTCTCTCTTTACAGCACAAATGTTATCTGAATGTTGAAAATCCTGGGCCAATCTCCCAAAACACTTACCTTTAAAAAAGTTGCTTTTTGTTGTAGGTGCTTTTATCTTAAACTCTATCTGCTGATTTTCTTAAAAAAACATTTATTTACTTATTTTTGCTGCACTGGGTCTTGGTTGCTGTGTGCAGGCTTTCTCTTGCTGCAGTGAGCAGGGGCTACTCTAGTTGCAGTGCAAAGGCTTCTCATTGTGGTGGCTTCTCTTGTTGCAGAGCACGGGCCATAGGCGCATGTGGGATTCAGTAGTTGTGACTCATGGGTTTAGTTGGCATGTGGAAAATTCCCAGACCAGAAATCAAACCCATGTCTCCTGCACTGGCAAGTGGATTCTTAACCACCAGACCACCAGGGAAGTCCTATCTTCTGATATTATGACAGTTATGTATTTTAAGAGAACTCTAAGCTCTCTTTTCTTAATTCTGATTTTCCTTTCTTCATAGATTGTGTTACTTTTTATAGATGCAATATCTAAACCTCTGTGGGTATCCTGCTTATAAGCTTCAGTAAATATGTTTTATTGCCTGAAGGAGGAAATGTGAAGATGGTGGATTCAGGTCCTTCCTTGGAAACAGGAGGAGGTGGGGCCTGAAAGTGGAAGAGCCTGGAGACTTATTTCTCCAAGGCAGTTTTTCCATCTGAATGGATTGGTCTTTCATTTCAGAGACCTTTTCCTGTCCATGTGTACTAACAAGGCTGGAGTCAGGACAGGCAATGGCCAGCCTCATACTGGGAAGAGGGGAGCTGGTCTTCACACCATGCCGAGCATATGTGAGGGTGAGCTCCCTGCTGACCACCTGAACACCTCACCTGCCTTCCCTTTCTGCAAACTGCTCAGGGTCCTTGACCTCTGCTTACGCCCTGGCTTCCCTTCAGACACCCCACCCAGCACCATGGCTTTGGACGTGTGCCCTGCATCTGCCGAACACGGACACCTCCCACCTGCTAATTGCCCTTCTCATCACACTCCCTTTGTCCTAGGCTTGGGGCTTTTTATTTCCCTTACTCTTAGAGGAAGAAGCTATAACCCATTGATCTATTCTGTGTGAATTGAAATGTTCAAATTTGCACTTAACCATATTTCGTGGCCCTCAGAGTATCTTTGAAGTTCTGTGGGAAGAAGACACAACAGAGGTGGAGGTAGTCATACACCAAACGGTTCGGCAGGTCTGAGCAGCTGACAGTTTAGATGGTTGCTCTGGCAGACAGGAGGAAGGACTGTTGTTTGGGGTCTGAGATCAGGACGCTTGCTAGTTTTATTGCCCAGATGGACTTAGGGTACAAATGGACCTCCCGTCTTAGCTTAACTTTGCTCCTAAATGTCAGCCCGGAACTGATTGAGTCCATGTGGCTTTCCGTTTTAGACTGAAAGGCACCCTGAGAGATTTTCTACAACATTTTAAGTAAAGAGAAAGGGTGGGGCAAGGGAGTAACACCTTGCACTGCCATGAAGTCAAGGTGGAACCCAAGGAAAAAGGGGAGGGAGGCGGAGGATGGCTGGGCTCAGCCTGTGGTGAAGCAGGGAGGCACCAAGGGGTCTGTCCTTATACAGCAGCAGTGAATGTGGGCAGATTGGGATGCTGAGTCTTTGTTGGGCTGGTGTGAGGTCTAGGATGACAAAAACTTGAAGCCAGTGAAATTTGACATTGTTTTGGTCTCTGGAAGCCTGAAAAAGCCACTGAGATGGACAGAAGTGGCTTCTCTTTCCTCAACGCGGAGCTGAGGTGGGGAGCTGGCAGACTGGACGCTGCCTCTCTGCGGACGTCTGTGTTGGGGCTGCACACGGACTGTGCTCCCGTCTCCCAGCTCTGGGTTGTGGGGTTTCCTCCCCTGCAGGATTCGCTGACCCTCCCAGCATCAACCCCCAGGGCACATACCTGGAGGAGGATCCGGGTTCCCGCGGTAGCCAAGCAGAACAACAGGCGGGCAACCTCCTGGTGAGCCAGCCCCCACCACAGGCTCCCAGTTTCATCCTCACCCAGAAGTAAGTGCAGAGCCACGGGGCTCAGGTGACATTTCCTACGGGCCACGCATGGGGTGGTGCCTGGTCGGGAGACTCACCATCTCCCACGGGGCAGATGAGGTCCTTTCCTTATGGATTTCTGGAAACCTCAACAGTGTTCCCCTGTCCTCCATGATCATAGTTTTTCCCTCGGACAAAAGAACACCTGGAAGCACAGCAGCAGATACAGGCTTGTGGATGGTGCTTCCCCAGAGGTCTCCCTGGGCTCCGGCAGCCTCTTTCAGGCATTCTCTTTTCCCCAAAGATAGTTTCAGTTTCTGGACAGCATCAAGAGCCTGCTTTTATACTCCAAATTATAATTTTAAAGGCGCTTGGGAGGGCTGTGAATAGGGGATGTGCTGCAGACTGTGGCATGGGGGCGTGACAGTGGTTCAGATTTCACAGGAGAGTGTTGGGCCTCTGGTGGAGGGTCATAGGACAGGGTCCCCAGGGTTTGGGGTCTCCCAAATCTAGGAGCTGAAGATCAGGTGCCCAGTGAGGGCAGAATTACTGGGGGACATGCGAGAGGAGGGGGGCAGCCTCCTGAGGAAGCAGGCTTTGCTTGTGAAAACAGCCAGACCATGTGGGTTTATGAGCAGAAGACGGATGGAGTGGAGCAGCCACAGGGTCACCTTGGGCCTGCTTAGCCGCCTCTCCATTGGTTTTCTCATCTTTGGACTCCGGTGCTCCAGCTCATCCTTGTTCTGATCTGATAACCTTGATTCCTTGTTTAAAAACAGCTTCGCTGGGGCGTAAAGTACGAACATGTTTAGATGGTACAAATGACAGTTTTCTGAGTGTGACATGTATTCATCACAAACCATAACTATGCTTTAGGTCATGGGTCACAGAGCTGTTTTCATCTGCCTCCACCCCTCACCCCCACCTCCCTAGGACCAAGGATCTGCTTTCTTTAGCTGCATTTTCTAAGAATTTCATATGAGTGAAATCATACAGCATCTGCCCTTTTCTTTATTATATGGCTTCCTTCACTCAGCCTGACTGCTTGAGACCTGTCCCTACTGCTGTGTATATCACTACTCCTCCTCTTGTGTGTATCAGCACCCCCTTCCTCCTGTGTGTATCAACACCCTTTCTCCTGTGTGTATCAACACCCTTTATCCTGTGTATATCAACACACCTCTTCCTGTGTGTATCAACACCCCTCCTCCTGTGTATATCAACACCCCTCTTCCTGTGTGTATCAGCATCCTTCCTCCTGTGTGTATCAACACCCCTCCTCCTGTGTATATCAACACTCCTCTTCCTGTGTGTATCAGCATCCCTCCTCCTGTGTGTATCAACACCCCTCCTCCTGTGTATATCAACATCCCTCCTCCTGTGTGTATCCGCATCCCTTTTCCTGTGTGTATCAGTACCGCTTCCTCTTTCTTGCTGAGTCCTAGTCTTGGATTGACATCACCTGCTAGAGGCATTTGGGAGCTCCTGGTTTGGGGCTGCTGTCAGCCCTGCTGCACACACAGTGGCCTGCACATTTGCCTTCGTGTCCCTGGGGTGTATACACCTAGCCGTGGGGTGACTAGGTCACAGGGTGGATGTGGTTTGACTGTTGTCCTGGGTGGCTGCACCTGTCCCCTGCCCTGCTCCTCCTGCTGCTCTCCTTGATTTCGTTCTAAGGACCTTTTGACCTCTGCGTGCCTCGGGTCTGTCCCTTTGTGACCTTCTCTTCCTTTCCATCTCCACTCACAACCCCATCTTCTGTGAGCTTGCCCTGGTGTGCTGCTCCCTGACTACCTGAGCCCCCTGCTTGAGGTGTCCTGAGGCCCCTCCAGCATCCTGAACACCTGAGTGCCTTGCAGGAGGAGGCTGTTCCCAGAGAGCCTGTCACCTGGAAGGGCTTCAGACAGGTAGAAAGCTCTCCGAGTATGGGGCTCATGGGGGACAGTGAGACCCTCAAATAGGGCCTGGCAGAGGGCCTGTCCTGACACCGTCCCTTTTCCAGCCCCTCAGACCTGACTCCGGCCCCATCAGGCTTCCCTGGCCCCATGTCTGCCGTGGAGCTGAGCCAGCCCCCTCCCGCCAGCCAGGTGAGACCCTCCTACAAGCACTGTGGGCTTCCTTCCTGACTCCTGGGTCCCCAGCTTGGGACTTCAGAGTGACTAAAATGGGCAGAGCTGAACATGAGCCAGGGACGTCTGGAGGCTGGACTGCAATGGAAGGGGAGATGGGAGGCAAGTGTCCTGGGGCAAGGTTTCCTACTGAGTCCAGAGGGCTGAGTCCCAGGTTGGGAGTGACACGTGGGAGGGCAGAGCCGGCAGAAGGCGTCTCCGTGTGTGACACTGTGTTGGCTTCCCAGGTGCAGTGGTCTGGCGGGCAGACCTCCAGCGACACCTTCTGGGGAGCCAGGATGCTCCTGGAGCTTTCAGGGGGTAGCCTGGACTGAGCTGCCCCTTGGGAGCCTGGCCAGTGCTCCAGGGGAGCAGCTGTGGACATCCAGCAACTCGAGTAACAGAGCGTTATCCCTACTGAAGAAGGAGGTCCCCAGAGTTCCCTGGGGGTTCTGCTGAGCCCCCCATGCCCTGTTTGAATAGTTTGGTTGTCAATTTCCTGTATTGGAAGAAGCGTCTGAGAAACATTCCTGAAGTCAGAAGTCAAAGGTGGGTCTGTTCTATGCAGGCAGCAGCAGATTGCAGTCAGGTTCCAGGGTGGGTTCCGGGCAGTGAAGGCCTTTCTCAGAGCGGGGATGTTGCCCTTCGGGCCTCCCACCTGTCCTGTGACAAGGCCAGACTTCTCCTCCCAGGAGATGTGGTGAGAGAGGTGTGGGCAACCTCTGGCATCTCTGAGTCTGGGGTTTGCACAGAAGCACGTGCCCTGGGGGAGAGCCTGCCAGGCTGGGGGGGTGCCTTGCCCAGGGTTGTGATTCAATGTGTTTGCCCAGCAAATGTTCTGTTCAATTAAAGTTTACTGTTCTGACTCTCTGCCCTTCATTCACTTAACTGTCCTGGACACCTGCCCCTCTCAGGCCGGGCCCACATTTCACAGTGTGAGGGCACTTATCCATGCATCAGCACCCTGGTGATCAGGACATTCAGATCCTTTCCAATGGCTCTGTTTTATCAGCAGTGTCACATGGGCATCTCTGCCGTCTGCCCCTCACCTGGTGTTGTGCCCCGGGAATGAGAAATTGCCCGAGATGGAAGCAGTGGTCAGAGAAGCCCAGGCCCCAGGGCTGAGCTGGCTGTAGCTCGTGTCCTCCTGTGACACGTTTGGGAACTTTGACACCTAGGACTGTCACCTCCCAGGAACGGGCCCTTGACCCACCCTTGCCTTCACATCGTGTTGGTTGACAGAGGTGATATAGTGGGTAATAGAGTCAGGTTTGTGCCCTTGGGGCTCACAGGATAGTGGGGGAGGCAGAGGAATAAAGGGGCACTTCTAGGTAGTTGCTGGAAGGTGGGGTGAAGTGGGGAACAGCTGAGAACCCAGGACACTTGAAGAGACCCTGTGAGCTTCCCTGGAGGGGACGTCTCAGCTGAGACTGCCTGTGCTCAGCCCCCACAACCCAAGGGCCCCCGCGCTCACTGCTCCCTGCGTAGCCCCATCCCATCCCATCTTCATCCCCAGAACCGCAGGGCCGGGTGTCAGGAGTGACAGATGTGCAGCTCAGACAGCCACTCACCTTCTAGGTCCCTAAAACTACGGCCTTTCAGTTTTAAAACATTTATTTGGAAACAGTCAAAAACTTGAAAATGGAAAACAGGTATCTTGTTTTCTTTGAACCATTTGAGAATAAGTGGCCAGATGATGGTCAGATGCCCATCATCCCCCTAATGCTTCTGTGTGTTGCCTTCAGATAAGGCATTCTGCTTGTCCACAGCTCCTCCATCGAAATCTGGAAGTCAGTCCTAATTGCTAGACCCGGAGTAAGTCCAGTTAGTTGTTCCAATATTGCCCTGAATGAAAGAATCCACATCCACTCCACAACATGTGCTGCATTTACTCAACAAGTTTTTCAACGCCCTCCCTCCTGGAACAGTCCCTGGTTTCTTCTGGACTTCTGGGACCTTGACTTGGGGATTACAGACCAGTTTCTGTGCAGAATGTCCCCCAAAGGGGCCATGGAATTTGGGGTATGCATTTGGAAGGGATGTCCTAGAAGTGATGCTTGGTCCTTACTGCATCCTCTGGGCCTCACGTGAATCTCGCTCACCCTGTCTCTGCTGGTGTTCACCTCCGTCACTTGGTTAGGGTGTTCCCAGCCAAGCTTCTCCACTATAAAGTCACTCCTTTTCTCTTTGGGTAAGTATTTTAGGGGGTGGTGCTTTGAAGCTATGCAAATATCCTGTTTCTCATCAAAGTTTGTATTAACTAATTCGCTAGTCTCCCTAATCTGCTTACCTAACTCTCAGAATTCATGAGCACTTTCCTCTCATTTCCTAGTTCTAAGATCTCAAACATCACCAACTTGTCCCCACATGCCCATACAGTGTTCACCCAATCACCAAGTCACTCTTCACCCCATGGTGGTTGGTATAAATAACTGAGTTCCACGCGCATCATTAATCTGCTCTTATCCATACAGACTGTTCCCACATGAAGCACACTCTTTAGACTCACTCACCCTCCATCCAAATTCTGCACCAAAGGGCAGCACATTAAGGGTTAGGGTTCAGGTACTCTGAGCTGCTAAGGGACGTGCCACCACTCAACCTTCGCAGGAAACACGCAGAGCTCTGGGCCTGTCTGGGTCTCTCCTGTCGCTAGCAGAGCCTGGATGCCCGGGAAGGAGGTACCTGTGTGGCAGCTGGTCAGATTAGAGGCAGGACCGTGGTGAACAGGTTGCATGAGGATCTCCACAGAATTTTCCTCCTTCCCACCTTTGCAGACAGTGGGCTCTATCCTGAAAGTCCTAGAGCCCTGACTCGGGAGCTGCATCACGTCTGTTGTGGAGAAAATGGACCAAAGTGTCTAGAGCTGACTCTTGACTGACTGGACGTCCTGAAGAGGGCCACCTATGTGGGGTCAGATCTGTGGGTGGAGGCAGGAGGCTTCTCCCTCTACCCTCCTCCACTCAGCACCTGGGGGGACGGGGCTCTGCCCTCAGGGTCCTGCCAATCAGGCTGCCTGTCCACCACTTCCCCCCCTGCTTTCTGGCTTGACCCCAGGCCCCTCTGAGAAGAGCAGTGTTGGCCCCACAGTCTGTCCTGCCAGCCTGTCTATAAAAGGCCATGAACACCAGTGAGACGCTATGACCAAGCGGAGTGTCCTCTGTCTGCATCTCCTCTACTGAGATCAAGACACAGCGGCCGTTCCAAACTGCTGATGGCAGCGGGAGAGGATTGGAGGGAGGTGAAGAGTGGAGTTGGCTACTCCTGGACATTCAGAGCTCCAGAAGTGTGGGGATGGGGTGCAGGGTGCAGTGCCAAGCTCCAGGGTGCCACCCCTGTTCCTCCTTGTCCTCATCCTCCCATGGCCCCCGGAGGCAAAGAGCTGTGTCCAGAGCTCCCAGTGAGTCAGGGCCAGAGGGCCCACTCAGCAGTGGCCTGCCTCTCCACCACCCACCCTGGTTTGGAGAGAAAGGAACAGAACAGAGGGTGCTGATGTCCATCCCTTAGGGCTGCTGAAGCAAAGTACTGCAAGGAATTCATTCCCTGGTGGTGCAGCGGGTAGGACTCTGAGCTCTCACTGCCTAGGATGCAAGTTCAGTCCCTGGGTGGGGAACTAAGATCCCACAAGCCATGTGATGCAGCCAAAACAAACAAAAAACTCCCCAGGTTCCACAATTTTGGTGACTTAGAACAACAGGAATTTTTGGTCTCACGGTCCTGGAAGCTGGATGTCAATCTAGGCGTTGGCAAGGCCTGAGGGCACCAGGGGAGGATCTGATTCAGGGCTCTCAGCTTCTTAGAGTTCTTGTCATAGGACAGCATAACTCCAGTCCTCACAAGACACTTTCCCTGTGTGTATGTGTGTCCAAATTCCCCCTTTTTATACCAATACCCCTAGGGTTAGGGCCAACTTGAATGATTTCATCTTGACTCGTTTCCATATAATGTCATAGTCATAGGTGCTGGGGTTAGGACTTCAACACATGCATTTCTGGGGTTCATCATTCAACCTATAACAGTGTTTCTGTCTTTGCCAGCGACCTCTCTCTCCCTGGTGGCCTGAGATGCCCTGACCTTTCCTGGAGCAACCCCATCAGGCTTACTGGGGGTCCCAAGCAGAAGACCCCACTCCTCCTGGCTGCAGGACTTGGGTCTGGGGCTGGGATCCTCTGCCCAGTGAGGGCTGGAAGGAGACTGTTCTGGAGTTGGAGGTGCTGAAGTATTGAAGATGCTGAGCCAGAGGGCACCTCCCCGGGGGCTTCAGAGTCCCCTGTGACCTGGACAGAAAGCACTTGCAGCTCTAGCACCCAAGGGGAAAGGAGGGGAAAGCTCCTCCTTCTGTCTCAGACAGGTGGCCCTTCCCATGTACAGGCCCTGGGCTGTGGTGGGAGCATCAGCAGAGCTGCATCCATGTTGGTGCGGCCAGAAGGCCCAGACCACGTCCTTTGTACCTATAGAGAGTGCAGGGTGTGGCCGGAAGTGAGGTGCAGACACCCTCAGCTCTAACCGAGTGTAAAAACACTAGCATGGAGCCACCTATTAGAGCCACCCCTGGGGAGTCCCAAGTCAGCGCGTCTATATGCGGGGCTTCAGGTGGATCTGGACCCCCGCAGGGTTAGACCACTGGGAAGCCTCTTCTGCGTGGCCGGGACGGTGTCCACTGGACTCACATGCTTGGCCCTTGAAAAGTGAAAATGAAGTCTCTCAGTCATGTCCAACTCTGCGACTTCACGGACTGTAGCCTAGGAGTCTCCTCCATCCATGGAATTTTCCAGGCACGAGTACTGGAGTGGGTTGCCATTTCCTTCCCCAGAGGATCTTCCCCACCCAGGGATCGAACCTGGGTCTCCTGCATTGCAAGCAGATGCTTTTACCATCTGAGCTATGAGGGAAGCCTTCTTGGACCTTGGTGGTGCCCAAGTGAGAAGCCACCCAAAACTTTGTAGTTGTGGTTGTGGTGGGCCATGCCCCCCACATGTGGGCCCTAAGGCACCTCCGTGTCATCACCTGAGCAGGATGCTACCCTCTGACAGCCATGCTGTCCCAACCCAAGCTCAGGGACACAGGCAGGAGGGCAGATTGCAGGTGCAGCTCCTGTGGGACACGTGGTATCAGATACGGGCATGGGACCTTCATCCTTGGGTTTTGCCCCAGGCTTCTCTTTATCTTCTCACTAGAATTTCAGAAGGACCACAGGCGACCCTTGAGTTAGGGGATTGGGCAACCACCCTCTGTGGTTGTAAGGCAGTGATGATTTATGGTCGCCCTCCTGCTCCTGGTTTCGCCTTGGCTGATCCAACCAACTTACATCGTGTATCAGTATCAGTATCAGTTCAATCGCTCAGTCGTGTCTGACTCTTTGCAACCCCATGAACCACAGCACGCCAGGCCTCCCTGTCCATCACCAACTCCCGGAGTCCACCCAAACCTATGTCCACTGAGTTGGTGATGTCATCCAACCATCTCATCCTCTGTCATCCCCTTCTCCTCCTGCCTTCAACATTTCCCAGCATTGTGTAGTTCTGCACTATTTCCTATTGGAAAAAATCTGCATGTGAGTAGATCTGAGCAGTTCAAACCTATGTTTTCAAGGGTCAACTGTATTTTACAAAAGCATCCCTTTTTAAGGTGTTCTTCCTCAGGGCACAGAATGGTGCTTCTTACAGAAGCCATCACAGCCGTCCTCCTACAGAACTGTGCATGCACACGGGGACAGGCCAGTCCCACAGCCACCTGAGGGGCCAGTGCCCCTGTGTTCTTGCTCGAGAGAGTATTCTCATGTTGAGGCTGTTGAAAAAAAGTTGACACATTGAAAAGTGTGTGTTAAAACTCACGATATTATTTAAGTTTAATAATATGCTTTGAG